CAGTAAATTTTGCAAATTCCAAGAACCGAAACAAGACTTCGCAAATCAGAATTTCTGGGATGAGGCCTGGGAAGCAATTTATTCAACAAACTTTCCTGATAATTCTGAGCATGATAATTTAAGAGTCACAGCTTTTTTGTTGTTGTTTGTTTTCTGTTTGTTTTTAGGGAAGAGGTGTGTTATGGATTGAATTGCGTCCCACAAATATTTGTGTTGTAAATTCTAACCTGTGCTTATAATCTCATTGGGGAATGAGTTTTCTTTGTTATGTTAATGTGACAGTATTTGTACAAGGTGTTTCATAAATCAATCAGTTTATTTTGAGATATAAAAGAGCAGATTAAGCAAGCAAGCAAGCACAGGAGGGGAAGACACATGCCACATCATCACCAAAGAACCTAGGAACAGAAGCTGAAAAGAGACAGTGACCATCCAGCACACCCAACAGAGAGAAAGCCTTCCCTCAGCACTGGCTGGCACCCTGAATTTGGACTTCTAGACTCCTAAACTGTGAGAAAAAAAAAAAATCCTGTTCGTTAAAGCCACCCAGGTGTGGTATTTCTGTTATAGCAAAACAACAAGTAAGACAGAGTATTAAATTGTAGATTTTTACTAGAAATATGAAAAGAAAAATGTTGGGCAGGGATAGGGAGAGGGTCGTTCAATGCTCAGGCCTCCATCTAGAACCCTGGCAGCCACCTTGACACTCTGGTAGAAGTCCTGGAGATAAATATGATCCTGGGTGCGACCGACAATCTGTGGAGCCACTGGAAGGTCAAGAATTGGCCCTCCAAGCTACCGCCAGGAAATGTGGTGCAAGTCATTCTACAGTCCATACCAGGAGGATCAAAAATACAACGCAACGCGCTGCGCTCGAATGGGTTCCGACTCATAGTGACCCCTCCTTGGGTTTCTGAGGCGGTATCACTAGGGCAATAGATTACACAACCTTCCTTCCCAGGAGGGGCTGGTGTGTTTGAACCGCCCGCCTTCTGGTTAGCAGTCAACTGCTTTAGCCACTATGCTACCAGAGGTCCTACTGGGAGGCTCTAGAGGACTCAAATTTATTGGAGGCCCCAGGCGACACCTCCCCTCCAGTTACCCTTGGCAACGAGGCAACCTGCCGAAGCTAGCGTGGCATGAAAAGGCGGGACTTCCTGGCTTTGGAAGGGAATGCGCATGTGGCGGCGTGCCCGTCACACTGTACTTCCTGTTGCGTGGTCTTGAAGGCCAATAAGAATGCAAAACTTCAAGACCACGTGCCTCCGTTCCCAATAGCAACGGGAGGCTTCTAAACAACCCTCCCTCATCTCTGCTTCTTTTGCTGTCCTATCAGCCTCGGGGATCCTGATTTCGGCCTCTCAGGCTTCTGGAAGCTAGTGACCCCAGCCCGCCGCCATGGTAAGTAGCCTACCTGCTAGCGCTGCAAGGCGCCAAGGAGAGAGGTGCAGCCGGGGCTGGAGGCGCAAAGCGGGTGTGCCTAGAGCGATGGCGTAGCCTGCAGCGGGTGAGTCCCTTTTCTGGGCCTGAGGAGATAGGCTGAGCCCGGCGCGGTGGGTGTGCGACGGTGGCTCGGTTAACCTCGGACAAAGCCCATTCGAAATAATCCTGAGTAAAGCCTTCTCCTGCAACCTCGGTCCGCCGTGTCGCTTTTTTCCTTGCTTCTGCTGAGAGCCCGGGGCAAGTCTCACCTCGCAGGTAACGGGCGAAGAGAGCCGAAAGGAACTGCTGCCAGCAGAAGGCAGAGGCAGGATCCGCACTCTGTGGCTGGATGAGGCTCCAAATTCTTGTTCTATGTGTGTATCTTATGTACATGCACACGCAACACCCCATCCCCGCACCCCCCTTTCTTTGGCTGCGTAAACAATTAGGTGTTAACTAGCTGAATAGGAAGAAAATGATTGAATTCAATTTTCCGCCCATTTTACAGTTGAGGAAATTTAGGTGATGTTTGCCTTTTGATCCGTTCAGAAAAAAAACAATCTTTCTCGTATGCCACTAATTCACATCCCCCACTAATTCTCCCAGCGGATATTGCATGCCAACTTAAATAGCAAACATACTTAGAGCAGTGCATACTACTGAAGGGTTCAGAAAAAGGGATGGAACCAGGGGTTGGGGGCAGAACTTAAACAAGCTACTGAAATAATCTCTTCAGCAACCAGAATTCCTACTGAACTCACATATGTTCCAGGGAAGGAGCGTTGTTGGCACAGTGGTTAAGCTCTGGGCTAACTGAAGGGTTTGAACCCCCCACAAGCTCCACTGGAGAAAAGAACTGACAACCTGTGTATGTAAAAATTATAGCCTGGAAAACCCGATGGGGCATTTCTACTCTGTCATTTAGGGTAGTTGTCAGTCAAAATTGACCGGACAGCACACAACAACAACATGTTCCAAGCGCTGATTTGGAGCTGAGAGTAGTAAAGCTGTGAACAAAGCAGACCATTCCCTACCCTGCTTGTCCCACTCTTTATCTTGATTGCGCCAAAATTTGAGAAAACGTTGAAAAAATACACATTACAAAAAATTGATATCTGATAGGGCTGGCAGACAATGTTTCTACAACAGTATTTGTATGTTCTGTAAGAATTCCCAGGTGTATCGTAGAGCTGACAAGGGACAAGGTTGTAGTCACTTCATGGGCACAGCCAGCTACCCAGAGGGAGCAAGTAGTTGAACCTGTGGGCTCGGGACCATAGTTGCAGGGGACATCAAGCTCAATTGGCATAACATACTACACAACACATTGTTCCACCTTCTACTTTGGTGAGTAGAGACTAGGATCTTAAAAGCTTGCAAGCAGCCATCTAGATACAACAATGGGCCTCTCCTTGTCCAGAGCAAAAGAAGAATGATGAAAACCAAAGATTCATGGAAACAAATAGTCCTAGTGACTGGTACACCATGCGATCTGCAGCCTATATGACTATGAGACCAGAAGAACTGGATGGTGTCTGGCTACCACTGTCAACCACTTGGAGGGGTATCTCTGTAGGAGATCCTGGATAGAGAGGGAGAACAATGTGGAGCAAAACTCAATCATTTGGAAAAAAAAAAGGGAGGGGGACCAGATTTGCTGGTCTGATAGAGCCTGGTGGAACCACTGAGACTATGATCCCTAGTTGCCCTTCAGGTCTGGAATTGAACCCATACCTATGCTTCCAGCCAAAAAAAAGACAGGTATAGGAGTTGAACATTTACCTGAG